AAAGCTCCTTGTGCTGAGGTTATGCAATGAGCACGGAGAATTGAGTCCTTTTTTTAGGGTAATGGAATCTAAAACAATGTTTTTTAAAAATATCTTTTTATTGTTTTCAGAGAAGGGGAGGGATAGAGAGATAGAAACATCAATGATGAGAGAGAATCATTAATCAGTTGCTTCCTGCACACCCGCCACTGGAGACAGAGCCTGCAAACCCAGGCATGTGCCCAGATAGGGAATGAAACTGTGACCTCCTGGTTCATAGGTCAACCCTCAACCACTGAGCAACACTAGCCGGGCTAAAACAATATTTCTTCTTAAATAGTTGGACATTCCTTTATATATAAATTATCTAATTTTCTAAATCATTCATGTCATTTTGCATAGGTAAATGCCCCTCAAGTATAGGGAAGTTGGTGTTACTGTCAGAGGTCTGGACAGAGGTGTCCTTGGAAGGAAGGGCAAAGGTCTGAAATGGCCAGAAGCTGCATGTGTCACTTTCTGTCAATGCTAATAAAGAACTTTTAACTACTCAGAATGTCTCTGTCCTTGTTCTGCAAAAGTGACAAGTTATGTCATTGTAATCTCCCATTATTGTCCCTTGGCACCAATAAATAATACATTGTCATTTATTCATCAAATTTTTACTGAAAACCTATCACTTCACGTGCAAGCACTGGACTAGAAGCTTGGAATAGTCATAAAATGCAGTTACTACCCTTGAGCAGTGCTCCTTCCAAAGAAGGTGATAAATAGCTACATGGCATGGTCGGGTTATAACACAAATGCAATGAAAATAGGAGACTCAGCGAAGGCACCCAGACGCTGAAAGTAGCATGTGACTTGGGTCTTGGAAGATGAGTTGGCCATATTGGAGGTGGGGAAGACAGAAAAATATTCAAGGCAGAGGGAATAGTTCATGCCAAGGCAAAGAGGTGTGGAAGAGCCTCGTGTATACTGAGAAAGGCAGACCGGTCTATTGGAATGGAGGTGTGTGTGTGTGGGTGTGTGTGTTGACAGAAGGTGATGATGAGGCTGGAGAGGTGGTGAATAACCTTGATGCCATGTCTCATTTATATTTTATCCACTAAATAAGGGAAAACCAGCTGTTTTTCAATCATGGAAATAAAATGGTTAGGGTTGGCTTTAGTAAGGTTGTTCTGGTATAAAGAAAGAATTAGATAGGTGGCATTCCATAAGCCAAGAAACCAGAGTTTTGCCTGGACCCTTGCCTACACTGGTAAAGGCCTGAATTAAGGTAGACAGAGTGACTGGTGATTTAGAGCAGTGGTTCTCAACCTTCTAATGCCGCGACCCTTTAATACAGTTCCTCATGTTGTGGTGACCCCCAACCATAAAATTATTTTCGTTGCTACTTCATAACTGTAATTTTGCTACTGTTATGAATCATAATGTAAATATCTGATATGCAGGATGTATTTTCATTGTTACAAATTGAACATAATTAAAGCATAGTGATTAAACACAAAAACAATATGTAATTCTATATGTTTTCCGATGGTCTTAGGTGACCCCTGTGAAAGGGTCGTTCGACCCCCAAAGGAGTCGCGACCCACAGGTTGAGAACCGCTGATTTAGAGGAAAAATAAAAAATGGACAGATCAGATACGCTATTGAATGTGAGGGTCAGGGAAACAGAGAGGAAAGAAGTTTTAAGCAACTCCTGGATGGTAGAGTGCACTTACTGACATAAGAAATACTGTAAAATGTTTTTTTTTGTTTTTGTCACTTGTTATTTGCAGCATAACATTATTATTTATTGGTACAAGTAGAAGTTTATTCTCCCACCCTTATTTTAAAAACAAAACACCATTTGCACTGATGTAATTTTTAACATTATTGCACAGTGGAAATCAAATGATGTCAATTTCATGCCTGTGGCAAAGTGCCCTAATTAAAGACATCCTGCAGTTATTCAAATCTCTTTCCTCCTCCACATATTTTTCTTTCTCCCACAACACATTCCCTCCACTTAAACCCCTCCCAACAGAGAGACACCAATCAGAGTTCAGACTGAGGGCAAGCATGGAGCAGTTCTGGGCTCTGGTGCAAGTATGATTTCTATAAAAAGACATTTAAGAAACAAGGCGAAATGTTGCCATTTTGCCTTTAATGGAAAGGTGGCTAGCAGTTACAGTAAAAAAAAAAGTTTTATTTAAAAAAACAACTCTTCAACTTCTAGGCAATCACTGAATTTTCAGAAATACACATACAATTGCAAACCAATAGTTTGTATAAAAATAAACTCTGAACGTGTGATTATAAAGGAGACCTCCCCGCCCCCCGCCCCAGTCTTTTCAGCTGCACAAATGCACAATAAAATGGAGGCAGTCTGTCTGAGGTGAGTTTACCCCAGTGAGGAGGGGGCTTTAACTTTGGGAGACAGAGCCTGCTTGAAGCGCCTCTTCAGGTCTTGCATGTTGGGAGAGCGTGGCCGAGGAATGATGGAGGGCCGTCTCCTCTCCCCACTGAGGCCGTGCAGCTTGCTCACTTCTTTGCAGAGATGCTGAAACACATCACAGACATCTTCATAGTTTTCACTGGTGGAGATTTCAAGGAACAGGCTGCCCAGCTCGTTGGCTAGCTGAACACCATCATCGGTCTGCACCTGCCGGGCATGCAGAAGGTCCCCCTTGTTGCCCACGATGATGATAGGGGCCTTTGAGTCAGGGTGGACCTTCCGGATGTGCTGGTAAAGGGGGCGGATCGACTGGTAGCTGTCGTAGTCTGTGATGGAATAGACCAGCAGAAAGCCCTCTGCCCACTGCACGCATTTGGACAGGGAGTCCACCACCTGCATGAGGTTGTCTTGGACCTGAGAAGATCAAAGGGAGTCTGATCAAGGAAGCTCTCAGTGGGAGAGGACTCAAAATATCATCAAAGTAAACTTTGAGCAATGGTTGAAAAGGAAATCACTAAATATAGTTTTCAGATTCTGCCCTGCTTCTGCAGAAGGAGGTTTTTGATGTAGAAAGAGCAAATTCTCAGGCAAGTCCCCTGCCTGGCTTATTTTATCAGCTGCTACCAATGCATTGTTTTCAACCTCCTTGCTGGGCAGGTAGTCTGTGGTGAACCTAGTCTGACTGAAGAATGACTTCAATGAGAACTTTCAAATCAGAATGTCACAATTTTTAAGGAACTAACTCAGAAAAAGCAAAACTTTGAAAATAAGCCAAGATAAACATCTATTCCCAAAACCCATAAAAATATTTTTAGCATGTCCTTCTTGAGAATGTTCCAGAAACAAATTCTTTCTTTCAGTTCTTCCACGAGACCTTTCCTCCCTAGAAGGGAGAGCAATTAACTTAATCAAGTTACATTCCTGAGCAGGCGCCAAGAGTGTCTGACTGCAATTAGTGACTTGCGGGAACAGCTAGAAACAGAAGCACTTCCGCAGTCCCTGCTGGGGGAGAAGACCCTCTCCAGGGCCCCAGCCAGTCAGTTTTGTTAATGGTTCCCGGCCAGCCCTGCAAGAAGTGGTGACACCCATGCCAGTAGCCTTGCCCTCGCAGCTTGTAAAGAGAAGTCAAGCGCCTCTCCCCCTCTCAGAGGTGGCGCATAGGAGGAAGCTGCCTCCAACCATCCAGTCCTCGCCCCCTTGGAGGGTTCCTAACGGCTCACTGACCGGCCCCTCCTGGGGCAGCCCACTGCTCCATCTAAATGCACATCAGGCCCGTTGAGATTCTTGCTCACGCTCCCGAGCGCCATGGGTGTGGGTGTCGTTGGAAGGGAATTCCGCCAGTCCTTACCTGGATCCCCCCGGGGGTGTCCTGGATCTGCAGAGACAACTGGTCTCCCTCGACACACACAAGCCGTGAGTACAGCTTGCCTGGAGAATGAAGAGAGTCTGCTTTTACATTCTTACTCTCAGCAGGACAAAGAAAATCGAAGCATGCAGGCACATAAGCAGGGGGCACGTAATTATTCTAACCTGTATTCGGTTCATAATCGCCAATGAATCTCTTGGTCAGGAAGCGCACAATCATTGCTGAAAGTGAAATAGGAAAATCAGGTGAAGGGCTCGGACAGGACAATCAAACACGACACCCTCCGGGAGAAGGAGGGAGGAACGGGCTGCGGAGTCTGCAAACCCGGGGCGGCCGTCGTGGTCCCCGTGCCTTTGGTGGCGGGGACGACTGCAGGTACTCGACCTGCTGCACCTGCCCTCGTGCTCCAACGGTGCCAAACCCAGCGACAGCCCAGGAAAGGTTGCTCGGGAAGCAGCGGGGAAGCCAGGAGAGAGGGGATGTCCGCTTCCTCCCTGTGCCCGGTCCTCCTCCCCGGCTGTGAGCCCTGGCTCTTCCCTATACCCCGTTGTTCGGACCGGCCCGGGGTGGGCTCCGCCCCGTGAGGTTCCCTAGGCACTCACCGCTCTTGCCCACGCGGCCGGCGCCCAGCACGGCCAGTTTGATGTCCCGGGGCAGGAGGTAGTCGGAGGAGGACTCAGGGATGGGCGCGAGCAGAAAGTGCCCGGACATGCTGGGCGGCCGCATGGAGCGTCCGGCCGCCAGAGCACAAGCCTACCCAGCGAGGACTCGGCCGCAGCGGGGTGGGTGGCCAGCCGGCAGCGCAAGGACTCGGGGTACTGGGGCCAGGCGGACCGCGGAGCTGTCACCGCCGGCGGCTTTTAAAGGACTCCCCGCGCACCCGGGCGCAGCGGCCGCCTCAGGCTCCTCCTCTTCCTCACCCTCCCCGCGGTGGCGGCCAGGGCGGGAGCAGCGCGAGCTGGAGACCAACGCAGCCGGCTTGCGCACTCCTCGCCGCCTGACGCTCTCTGCCCGGGACCTGCGCGGTTCACGGCCCCCAGACGCTGGAAATGCAGGCACTATCCCGAGAGCGCACGGAGCCTCTCGCCGGGCTATGCCTGCACCCTCCTCCACCCTGCAGAGGCGACCCTGAGTCAGTAGATGAGTGAACCTGAGATCAGAGTTAGGAGCTGGGGATAGAAAGGAAGAGGGAAAACTGCCATCAGGAGGATCTTTCTGCAACAGTGGGAGGGAAATCCCTGCCAAATGTTGCCTTTATTTTCAAAAGGTGATGGGTGACAATATTAAGGAAAAGGGGATGGGGAGAGCTCAGAGTTAGTAGCAGTACAAGGGAGCTGTAGTCACTTTGACCAGGCTCCAGATCTGTGAAGGCCCTGGAGGCAGTAGTTGTTTGCACCTCAGCTGGCACTAGTTGCACTGACTCATCAGTGAACACTCCATAAGCATTCCATGGGCTAACAGTGGTCGGCAAACTGCGGCTGGCGAGCCACATGCGACTCTTTGGCCCCTTGAGTGTGGCTCTTCCTAAGCCTTAGGAGTACCCGAATTAATAACAATGTACCTACCTATATAGCTTAAGTTTAAAAAATTTAGCTCTCAAAAGAAATTTCAATCGTTGTACTGTTGATATTTGGCTCTGTTGATTGAGTCTGCCGACCACTGGGCTAAGAGGCTGGAAGCTCTAACTCAGGACATCCGCACTTGAGTCATGCATGTGCTTCACTATTCATTCCAGTACTAACTTCCAGGTGTAAAGTGGAGTTTAGGGTGAGGTGGAGCGTGGAAGGAAGAGAACACCAAAGAGAAATACGGCCTGATTATGGGTTTCTGGGCCCACCCTGTCAAGGCAGAGCTGTGGGAGTTTATCCTTGCAGGATGTAAGACCTTATGCTTCTGGCCTCCTGCATTCCAACCTATGTCCAATTGCCTATTAGACACCCTTACTCACCCCTCCTTCTATCCTGGTTGTATTAGCTTTTGCTGCATTAAAAAAAAAAAACTGGCTTAAAATAATGACCCCTCATATTTGCTCACATGTCTAAAGACCAATGGGGTGGTTATCCTACACTACGCCAGGCTCAGCTGATCTTGGCTGGCTCTTTCAGGCATCTGCAGAGAGCTGACAGGGCTTGAGGAACTGGCATCATCCTGCAGCTGGCTGTCAGTCAGCTGTGATTCGGGAGGGACAATAATTGAGTCACATGTCTCTGCTTATCAAGCAGGCTGGCCAGGGCTTGTTCTCATGGTGGCTGAGAAGGGATTAGAAGTGGAAAAGGCCCACTGAGACCTAGGCTTAGAGGGGAACCCATCACCTCTTTTTGTTGGCCAAAGCAAGTCACAATGCCAGCTCAAATTCAAGAGGTAGGGAGAAAGACTCCACTCCTTGGTGGAGGGAGGTGCAAAGGCACGTTTGAAAAGACTGGGATGCAAGGAGGGGTAAACAATGGATCCATTTTTTGCAGTTGACCACACTAATGAATGTACCTCCATCACCCAGTAGCCCATCCTTGACTCTCACTTCATCAATTGCCAACTTCCATAATTTCTACTGCCTCCATTTCTTGGTGTCTCCTCTCCACCCCTACTGCTCTCTTCATTTCTCAATTGAAGAATCCTGAATAATCTTGAAGGAACTGATTGTGAGTAGTTTACTTGTTCCTCCGTTGGGGAAGCTTCCTCTGACCACTGCTACCACTCATACGCTTATTTCCCAGTTACTCTCAGGGCTCACTCAAGTGTCACTACTTTCTGGTGGAATATTTGCTTCATGTCTGTCTCCAGAAGGGTAGGGACTCTAGCTTGTGTCTTTAGTACCAAGCACATAGTGGTACCTGGGACGTACAAGCTCTTGAATAAATGTTTGTTCACTGATTGACTTTCTGAACAAAAGGTGTCTTCACTGTATGAACTGGAAAAGACAGAAATCATTATCCCAGTACCTTAGTTTTGAGAGTAACCTATTTGCAGGAGCTAGTGTTCCAGGAAATGTCCTGGGATAAACTGCCACATTTCAGTTGTACTAACTTTTGGCTGTTCACAAGGCAATCCCCTTCCCTGACTGGGGAAAAGGCACCCATAAAGAGTTACTATTTATAGAACAACTTTGAAACTATTAGCTCCCAGGGGTCCTTGAGCAGTTCAATGATAGGGGTCTGATTTGTCTCTCCGATTCTCTTGGCCTTTCATTCTTGGACACAAAATGGCTCCTCCTTCCCCAAACATTAAGTCCTCATTCAAGCAGGGAGGGAGGGCCTCTCTTTGTCTTTTCTTATTGTGAAATAATCCTCAGAAGAACCCAGCAGACTTTCTCATATCCCAATGACCAGAACTAAGATGCTGGAAGTTCATACAAGTATCTGCAAAAAGACTGTAATTGCTGACTAACTTGAACAATCATAGTTCTTCCCCAGGGGCTAGACTAGACAGTTGCTACCTGTTAAAATTCGAGGAACAGACAGGGGATCTATGTTGAGCAGTTGTCAATGTGATCTGCCACAAATACTTTACATTCCTGGAGTCTAAATACAGACCTTTCTAGGGAAAAGCCATTTCTTGGCTGAATCTTGGACTTATCTCTTCACTTCACTCCATTATACATTCCCAGTCAGGAATAAAATCATTTAAGTTTAAGGTCGCTCAATAAGGAAGAGTCCTAAGACTGTTCTCTGCCCAGGTGATAACTGCATTCCATTTTGCATTTACCTGGCAACTTTGCTAGGTGAGCTCAAAATGTTATTACACTTTCCTCGGAAAGCTCTTTGCATTTGCAAGTAATAATCCAAGCCTTTTTAATGCAGACAACATATTACTGAACTGTGAAATTATAAATAGCCTTGTGTAAATTGTTCTGCTTGTTTTTCATTTGGATTTGTGTCTAGCTATGTAAATTGTGTGACTAACATAACAGGCATGCTGAAGTGATTTTAGAAAGATAATAGAAATGTGTAGGCAGACATGGATACACAAGTCCATGGGTGTTTAGAATGAGTGTGAAGGACAGAATTTGGAATATGCAAACATCACTAGGCTTAGAAAGTTATTAACCCTTTACCAGCTAAATAAGCTTGATTTCTAGACCTCAGGCAAAACTTTGCTAAGGTCTGTCCTCTACTAGTTCAAGAATATCCCTTCCCCCAGCCCTGGTTGGGTGGCTAAGTTGGTTGAAGCATAATCCCGTACACACAAAAGGTTGTGGGTTTGATTCCTTATCAGGACACAAACCTAGGTTTCAGGTTTGATCTCCTTTCAGGGTGCTTAAGGGAGGTAACGATGTTTCTCTCAACATATCCTCAGGTGAGGGTTAAAAAAAAAAGAAAAAAAGAAGAAGAAAAGTCCCTCTAACCACCATCCGTAGAATTCAGTATCAATTACCTTTCCTGTATAGCCTAAATCCTTGAATATTACTATGCTTACAGGAGACTCAGAGACTATCTTTTGGTACTTTCCCCGGAATAGGAATTATGCTTCTGTCTTGTACTAACTCCCTACTTTATTTCAACTGTCAAAATAATTGAAAATCTACTCTGTAAGGCTAAGTGCTGGTACAAAACACAAAGAACAGCTAAGTTTCTATTATAAAACATTTACTGAAAGGACAATAAAGTACATAAGATACCCCTGGCTGCCATTACAGACATCCCTATAAAGTTTATTATCATTCATAAATTAGTTGAATTAACAAAAAATTATAAATCTTAATTCTTTCTTAACCTTAATTAACCCTATGAAATTGGTGAAATATCTTCTAAATTGAGGTTCAGACAAGCTTAGTAATTTATCCAAAGTCAGAGTCATTTATTAGTAGACAATCCAACCCGATTTCAAATCTTGGTGCTGTCCAAGATGTGAAATCCAACATGGAAAGCACTCCGGTCATGTAAATGGAATGACAAAGCAGGTTGAACTTAATCTGAACCTACTCTCTCAGGAGCAAAATATCCAATCACATCTTCACTTAAGCTAAGGCATCACCTCACTTGGTAGAGACAGTAAAGAGTACCCTTTTGCCATTTCTTTTCCAATCCAAATGACAGAATATAGAATTTCCATAAATTCTATTCTTGCTAGGAAAGTGGGTATGAAAGCATTTCCCTAAACATTTCCCAGCCTTTTGCATTTGGGGCTTTGTGAGATGGCCTGTCAATTGCTGGGAATTACACACTTTTGCTGTTTGAAAAGCATTACAATGCAGAAACTTGACTGGATGCTTATCCATTCCTTGATACACTTTCCACCTCAACAGGAACAGCTGCAGATGCTGCCTCATTGTTATTATTCATAACTAAGCAATTTGTCTAACAGATTAGGTGTTTTGCATGAACACCAATTTTTTTTCCCTTTAAGTGGGGCTGAGTTGAAGAAATGCTATAAACATGCATATTTCAAATAAATTAAATTAAAATTCTCATGCTAAAAGAATGAAAAGCCTACCTTGTTTATATCTTAGCAATTCTTACTGCTATTTAGCAATGTTTTATATTTTAGCATTTTTTCCATCCCAGTCCAGAGAAAATGCTAATGTACATGAGTGGGAATCTATTAGAGATAGGAAATCAAGTTGATATATTCAGCCACAATTTGTAGAG